GTTCCACTGACCACAGAGGATGATGTTTAAAAAGTATAAGGTTCATGGGACTGTAGCCAACCTCCGAGGACGAAGACGCAAGAGAAAATGCAACCCCAGTTGATCAGATAGTGTGGATGGTAGAAAAAGAGCCAAGGATCTTAAACCCTTCAAGTGAACTCCAAGTTGAAGGTCCCTTTCTGATCACATCATCTGCCACCTTTTGAATCAGAATGAGCTCAATAGAAGCTTGGGGCAATGGAGCTTTTTGTGTGTGTGTGTGTGTGTGGGGGGGGGGGGTGTCACATGACCACCTTTTTGTCCTTGTAGCATTTATTTGAGCACAGAGCAGGAAAGTCTGACCTTAAAGAGCCTCACTATCAGTAGGAAGCGGCCACTGGAACGCCCTTCACCTGACTCTGTGCTGAGGACATGGGGCTTTTTTTTAAACAAGTAAAAATCTAGGTGGGGGTGGGAGGCGAGGTCTTGCTCACCATGGTTGGGTTGTGGTGCGTTAAGGATGTCCAGCGTTGTCAGCCGAACAGGAAGTAAGTTTGTCAATGTAACCCGCATGGGAGCTTTCCTCCTTCACACTGTGGGGTCCGCACCTCCAGCTTGATTAACAGCCTGCCCACCATTATCTCGAATTGAGAGTGTCAGCTAAATTAGCCACCCCCCACCTTCCCTCACATTCAGCACTTAGTTAACATGCAAAGACACCTTCTCTGAGCTGCAGAGGTGTGTAGCTTTCCTCTAATCCACAGTCGACACGACACATGAAGATGTTTGTAATGGACGCAAACGAATCTCTCAGTAATTCACAAATATCAAAGATTGTTTTCTTAGTGCTGTTCTAAAACTTATTCAACAGGAACTAGATTAGAAAGTTAAAAATATTATTGTCACATAAAACAAATCATTATATTTAGTTTTAAATATTTAACACTCCATATATAATGATTAAAAATAAGTAACAGTTTGGCTCTGTAGAAAAACTGGTTTCAGTGTAAACGGATTAAATCACTAAAGAAATTCCGTTTTCTGTGAAAATACAGCGTGAATGCTGAGCGCTGAATGACTGCTGAAATGTGCACAAGCTGAAACTGTTTTAATTCTAAAATATGCAGAACATTAGCTACAAGTAATAAGAATAATACCCCTATAAAAACTTAAAGTAGCTTTTTGTTAAGATCACAGATCTATTTTTCAAAGGAGGCTTTGAATAAAACAATAGCTAAAAGTAGTGAAGGGTTTATTAAAAGCTAAGTGTAGCTAAAGAATGACTAAAAGTAAAGTAGCAAAAGACTGGCTAAAAGTAGCAAAAGGCTGGCAAAAAGTAGCAAAAGGCTGGCAAAAAGTAGCAAAAGGCTGGCAAAAAGTAGCAAAAGGCTGGCAAAAAGTAGCAAATGGCTGGCTAGAAGTAGCAAATGGCTGGCTAGAAGTAGCAAAAGGCTAGCTAGAAGTAGCAAAAGGCTGGCTAAAAGTAGCAAAAGGCTGGCAAAAAGTAGCAAATGGCTGGCGAGAAGTAGCAAATGGCTGGCGAGAAGTAGCAAATGGCTGACGAGAAGTAGCAAAAGGCTGGCAAAAAGTAGCAGAAGGCTGACCTAAAGTAACAAAAGGCTGGCAAAAACTAGCAAATGGCTGGCTAGAAGTAGCAAATGGCTGGCTAGAAGTAGCAAAAGGCTGGCTAGAAGTAGCAAAAGGCTG